TGGGCAATGGCTAGATTCTGGAAATACTGATTGAGAATGTGTATTTCTATTTGGTCGGCAAAGATATACCGGCTGAATATCCGGTAGATGATTGTTTCGTCTACATTGTCTAGTATCAGAGTCTTGACATTGAGATGGAATAGGGGGTTTTCTGTGGAACTGTCTTTTAGAGTCTTTAAGTCGAATGTACTGATAATATGGTTGTCTGGTTGTACATTTGAAATAGTAAGAGTATCGGCAGTAAGGTTCTGGAATCGAAGTAGAAGGTAAATGAGATGTTGTATCTGAGATTGTGCTTGTCCAATAGTTCCGGTTATTCTGATCGTTGAGTAGCGCATGTTTTGACAGAAGCTATGACATATTTTGGTGATGTACCTTTTGAGACTCTTCTTTAGCCGGGCATGGCTAAGTTCGATATTGACTGTTTCTTGAAGTGTCCAAGTGGAGTCACTGAGATGCTCGCCACAGCATATAATGTTCTTTTGTTGAACTTGATCTAGTACAGTCATTGGGATAGCATTCAGATCGCAAAGTACGTTTAAAGTGTATTCCAAGTCATCGCGATATTCTTCATAGCTTATTTGAACGGTATCAGTTCTGATGCCATGCTTAGCAAGAGCTGCTGGAGTATAGAGTGATGTATAATAAATAGAGCTTCTACAGGGCATATTGGTGCTGATTTGTAAGATAACTTCGGTAGTGATTACTCGTGGCTCAGGTGGTATCTGATTTTGGTTGGACTGAAACGTGGGCTGGATATAATGTGGGTAGGATATAATACCTACAATAGTATGAACACAGACTAAAGCAATGTTGTAGTGGCCTAAGTACAAAAGAAATAGCCAGGTGACTTCTAAGGCCGTGGTTGGGTTGCTAGTTACAAAGTTCTCAAAACCAACTAAGTTTGTCTCAAGTCCGCTGGCGATGAGATGACTACAATGGACTAGCATGTGCTGGAGAAGGTTGAGATTAACGTCTATTGAGTTAAAGTACAAACCAAGCTTGTAGTTCTTTTTGAATGATAACCTACTAATTAATTGGGTGTTTTGAAGATCACTAACCGCCAAATAGATAACTGCAATTGGTCGTAGTAAGACAATGCCGCTGGATAACATATTTGAAAGACTACTTCCTGAAGATAAACACGTGATCTTACATTCAAATTTATAGTTGGCTTGGCTAATCGCGTTTTGTGCTTCTTTCCGACAGACATCTAAGTACATGTGGATATCGTCAGGCTCCATATCTGTCTCCTCATCAAACCAAAACTCCAAATACTTACAATCAACTATATTAATAAATCGAGATAGAATCTGCCGGCCCAGCTGACAAGAATTTAGGGAAGCTCTATAGTAATGAACATAAACATCAACTATCGAAGAGTAGATCACTCTAATGACAGCAATCATTCTTAGTGTGTTTAATGCACTCAATGCCTCTAGTGAGTTAGGTTCGCGAGGAATTGCAAACTCAATACTCGCGGCCGTACACTCTATTACATATTGAGGTCTAAGTTTTATGGGCTTAGATGTGCCTGGTGCAGAGTCACTGTTTAAGCCGGGTTCATCTGCTTGGCTAAGCATATAGAAGAACACAGACACGTGTTTCTTTCGGCAGTTAATTGTAAGGCCGATTGGCGACAGAGAGTTAAGCAGGCTTTTTGTTGTGGCTAAATCTAACATTGTTCTCTTCACTGGCACGTCAGCTTTATTGGGCTTTCCAGCCATATTCAATCGATCAATGGCATCCTCATCTATACCTACACTATCTCCGCTGTCCTTACTAGAATCGCTTGATATGCTGGCACTAGAATCATCACTGCTAGTATAGCTTATACCAATGTCGCTTGATCCACTCGCATTGCTTAGTAACACTAGTAGAACGCATAGCCCAAGCACCCAAGGGGTTAGTATTATCTTCATGGGACAAAGTTTAAGTAAAGAACGGCCTACAGTGCGATCAATGGTAGTATTGTGCCTGGTATTTGGAGTTCTCCACTGAGAAATAGTAGGGTCTAGTATATACTTTAAATTGCTTTCGATATGGTTGACAGATAGACACATAGATTGTGAAAATAAAAGAAAGATACTAAACTAATCTCAGAGTTACTTTGCAAGAAAGACCATGAACACTAATTGTTTGCTCGACTTAGAGCTTTCTACCAGCCTCGCCGGGAATAAGGCGGCAATCATCAGTTGTGGTGTCCTCGCAGGTCTCCACTTTAAAGTGAGTTATCTACAGGGGTATAGTTCTGTAATACTTATCGGCCTGGCACTGATCGCAGCGAGTGCGACTAAATTCTTGAATTAGAAATCACAATCTCAGATTAGTATTTATATTCTGCGCTTACAGACTATTTCAAGATGGCGTACGATAAAGAGATCCTAATCTATACTAACCCAACTTTCGTGTTATAGTGCTATACAGTTCTTAAATACTTATAACATCTTAAATTAACCCAACACCAACCCAATTCTTTTGAAATTGATCATATCGCATTTACTATTTAATGAGTTTTATTTCATTTTGAATATGCCTTATCTCAAAAGTCGAATTACTCTAGGTATAAATGAGAATTATCCATCTACAATACTTATGTGGAAGGTTATTGTTGGGTTATTGGTGGTGTTGAATGTTGTTTGTGGGTCGGCTGAAGATAGTAAGGATGAGTTGGCTTGTGGAAGTGGGGTTTGTGGTGAGAGAGCCCCGGCGGGTTGGAAATCGCCAAAGGATATAGTTGATCGATTGAAAGAGATTGGGTTTGAGCTCGATGAGAGTATACTGAAGGTGTTGGTTAAACCCTATACTCCAGTGCAGCCAACAGTTTCCGACTCCGATACTAACCCATGTCTAAGTTCAAGTGGGTTAGAAGAAAAGACTGGTCTTTCTATAGTAGATACTCGGACCAGATGGATGAAGTTTATCATGCCCAAGTATTCAAGTGCCAAAGAGGCTAACGCAGACCTTGAATTTCTAAATACGATCGCTGCCATCAAAGTCTCGGTAGCTTCGATTATGTATACGGATGCTAGGTTAAAATGCCGCCAGACGTGCATCTTAATTGTAACTCGAATCATTAACATGCTTGAGTGTAAGAAGCTAAAGCTCAATTTGAAGTGTACCTTAGAGCGCAATAACCAAAACCAGTCCATTTATGATGCTAGTTTGCGTGAGGCGAAGAGAGTCATCGGTCTTACTCCTAAATCACCATGTGCGCTCGTAGCTTGGGGCAACACTAACCTTTCACAATGGGGTGCGAATGCTATCGCCATAAAGCAACAGTTTTCATCTATCCACTTCCACCCAGTAGATAACCTTTCCCATAACCTTGACAATCTATGTTTAACGAAAGACTTCAAGGCAACTGTATCCCTTAGCTCTAAGAAACCTGAGGTTAACCTTCGATATCTCTTCTCAATTCCTACCAATTGTTCTAAAATCACAATTATGGCCACCTATAAGCCGTGCCCATTAATAGTAGGCCTAGGGGATTGCACTAAACAGTACAAAGACATAAAATTGCTGATTAGTTGGGACAATCTTCAACTGCTGGGTCGCACCTCTAAAGATAAAATCCATGCCCACAGTATTATGGTCCCAGACGACAATTGCCTTTATAAAGAAGGCTCTTCTTGTTCTGAACCACCAAAGAACACTGGGCATTGTATCTTTGCTGACAAAATTGTTGTTCAGATAAGCCCGGGTTTTCCTTATGAATTTAGTAAATCCACTACCTATGATTACATAAAAGATATCTGTGCTAAACATGGTGTATTGGTTAAAACAGCGGAGGTCTGCGGTAAAGATGACCAAGAGGACCTTTCTGAGACTCTAGGCATACTTGAGAAGCTTGATGCCTTGCCTAAATCAGCAACAGAGCCCTACTCTTTTAATATCAGTTGTGGTAGAAGACTTAAAAATGCCGAATATATAACGATTGAGGAGCCCGTTAACCTTAAGTTTGTAAATTGGGATAGTTTTTGTGATAGTAATAAGCCAAGAGATGGTATGCTTTTTTGCCAGCATATACACTACAACGAGATCAATATTGATGGGAGCGGTGGAATTGATTTTAATCCTTTTCATCTTCTCACTAACACTCTATATCTATTCCGAGATATTACTGCCAATAAGCTTACAATCAAAAATATTCGTAAGATCCGTGCGATCGACAATTTTCGTTGTGATGTTAAGGAGGAGATAACTCGCAATCCATTCCGATGCAATATGAGCGTTGATGTTTTGATACTGGATAATGTTAGTACTGTAATTGCCTTTTGGATCTTGGAGAAATATGACTTTGTTAAACCGGTAAAGGTGTATTTACAAAATATCAATTGCAGTGAAAATGATGCTATTAAACTAATTCGCCCTCATCCGCAAGTCCGAAATATTTCGGAGTTTGTGTTGGATAACACGATAATCAGGTAACTGTTCTGTTCTGAGTGTGAAGATCGCCCTGTTTGAAATAAAAACCCTCAGCATCTGAGACTTTGAATTTATCGTTATTGAGCCAAAGTACCAACCAAATGGGCCTCTTTTCTGTGTCTATGGCCAGGAATACAACCTTTCATTCGAATAGGTTCAACTAAAGATCGATTTAGAAACGGACTGTGATATATTTTATTCAACTATGTTTGCTCGAGAGTTTTAGATCCGTTTTTATAGATTAGATAGTGTTAGTGTTGGGTTGGATATGGTTCATTATCCGATGTTTACTCTATTAAAGACATTTCTTGAGACGAGTATCGATGTGATTTGTTAAATAAATATGGTTGTGTGTGAGGATGACGTCATATTGAATTGTAGCATAGATATGTAAAACTAAATTAGTCGAATCAGATTGATTCTATTAAAGCTGCGAGAATTAATAATATCAATTGATAGTTGCCGGCAAGCAGCTTGTAAATGAGCAGATGAGTATTGGGTTGGATTAGGTTTAAAACAATACTAACCCAAATTCGGTCTTTAGTTGAGTATGTATGGTTGAAAGGTACTATCCCATCCCCAGAACATGGTAATCAGCGTATGTAAATGCAAGTTCAAATAAAAGGCGTGTGTTCAAAACAAATGGGCTTATCTAGATCAGACCGACACTGAATTGGCTAGCGTCAGAAAGGAAGCAGAAGCTAGATAGCTGCTTGAGACCGTTCAGATAAAATAAGGCAGGTGGACTTGTTTTTTGGATAAGATTGCCAGAGCAAAGCACATCGTTGCATGTGCTCTTTCGGCAGTAGATTGTATCTAGATTGTGGCCTAATGTAAGCCTAGCCATATTGTATCTTATTTTTTATTACCGGGGTCTATGTCGCTATCTTCCTTTATATACACTCTATCAAGTAAACATGCTTCGAGCCAAACAAGCCAAATATCAATCAGATCTACCAACCAGAAAGCTCGTTTTCATATTAATCAGATGGGTTTACTTGCATTGGCTATGCCGGCTGAAGATTATATCAGAGGCAAACACTTAGAAATAGATGGGTCCTGGGTTAGCATGGGGTTATATGTCTTGCTTGTGTTGTTGGGCTCCGTTGCTAGTTCGGATAAACTCGACCAATTTGAAAAGAGAGATATACTAGCCTGCCCAAGTATAAGTCAGACGATTAATGACATGGAATCGATTGGCTTCTCATTTGCTAGTGACCCCTATAAGTTTGTGAAAATCACACCCTATGTTCCTAAATGTTCACCAACTCCGATTGCTAGTCCTAATCAGCCGTCAATACTAACCCTCGACCTACCACCAACCCGTCCTTATTATACGATATGTGTGCGCATGACACACCTCACATTTAAACTACGCAACTATACGACGCCACAAAAAGCTATACTGGCCCTGGCTTCCTTAAGAAAGATTGCTAGCATCAAGATCGCGAAGGCCATTATTATTGTGGAGGAGGGCGGTTCGAACGGTACTCTACTGAATTTGTGCATTCTGTCTCGAGTTGTTAACATGTTGGATTGTAGGTGCCTTCGAATTAGCCTTTTATACAAGCAGCGAAAGACGGATATCCGCGATGCCGATTTGGCTGCTTCTTTGGCCGAAGCACAGAACACTATCAAGCATGCCGGGAATCTGCTTGGTTGTTGGATCTACTTTTCGGTTACACAACAAAATAGACTTGTGCAACTGCTGAATAGTGGGATTACTTTGTTACGGCCCATTATAACGGTTTATCTATTAGAATCGGAGTATAAAAGTGTCCATCTTTTGCCCAGATTGCCTCTAGAAAACAACTACCACATTAGCATTAGGGCATGGAGTGGGATAGCTACGATAGATTTCACGTTTATTAACAACCATGCTCTTATCTGCCACAAGATTAGCCTGGGATGTATAAAAAGCACCAAAGTTAAACTACTTGGTCTTGAGAATGCTATCGAGAAACATTCGAAGATTTACTTGGTGGCTAGTTGGCCCGTTTTATGGTATATTATCAATAACAATGGCCCTCAAATCCGAGTTTATGGCGTTGCTGGCCTTAATGTTAGCTCGTCTTCAATGCAGCAACTTCTGGATGCATCTTTAAAAACTGACGACACTCCTAGGCCTCGGATCATTGCTACGGTAGGTGTTTCTAAAATCCTCAAGGATCTGCCCTGCAATTCTTTGGACAGCTACAAACGCCGCCATTCCTCGACCGTCCTTGCCAAGTATGGCATCTGTCTCAATGAAATCAGAATGTGCTATCTAATGCCAAGACAGGATTTTGGTGACACTATCTCCTTTCTTGTCGCCAGCAAGGCTTTATCGGTGCCAGCAATAGATCTTGGCGCTCAAGACATTAAGTGCTGTGGCAATGGACTTAGTGATCCCAGCTGGCAACTCCAAGAGACAGTTAACTTCCGGCTTGATGACGCTAAGCTAGACTTTTATTTGCTATGTTACACAACCCAGGGCCACGGCTGCCTTTGTCAGAATATATGCTACAACGTCATCAACATCATTGGAACATGCGCTGCCCATGGCCAACAAATTGACAAATGCCTTAAGTTACTGTGTATGCTGGGAAGCATCACTGCCCAAAAGCTTAGCATTATCAATATTCACAATAGCCCAAACCCCGCTCGTATTAGACTCAACCTAAACAATATAATGCGGCAAGATACCATAGAAGAATACAAGTGTCAGCTCAATGTCAAAATATTAGTGCTTGATAATGTCAATGTTCGCATTGTTTATTGGCTTATGGGGCGTTATGTTTTTGCCAGTTCAGTTGAATTATACCTTCTGAACCAACACTTTAGCAATCTTGCCATCGCCCGGATTCTATCTTTGCCTAGAACCCACCAGATCACGTCGCTTACCCTCAATAACTTCCTTGATCTAAATGAAGTTAAACTCTACCAGAAACAAAACAAGTCTTCGAAATTCTCACTCTTCAGGTATATAGAAGCACTGAGGGAAGGAAACCCCACTCTCCAGGGCCTCAACCTACACAAGCTGTTCCTACAATTGGGAAATATCGACTACGCCCCATATACTGATCTCCTTTATAGATTAGCAAGCTATCAAATCCAACCTCTAGCTAGCTTGTTCGAAGACTACCTTAGAAACCTGTCAAATCAGTCCACAACCAGCCCAGAGACCAAGACAGAGTTTGCTCTTTATAATATTGTCTTATCAAGGTTAGAAAAGGACCTTATCGATTGCTATTCACAATATCTGCCCCAGTCAAGCAAACAACCGTCGCCTCTAATTCCCAAAAGCTCTGTCGAGAAGTTAATCTTGCGTTTCAATGACAATCAGTTCCTGACTGCCACTGAGCTAGTAAATGTCATTCGCTGGGTCGGCTATCGATTTAAGAACATACACACAGTGCATATAGTAAATATTAGAATGTCAACAAGCGACCGAGATTTGATAGTCACACATCGCTACTTAACTGCTGATCTGGAGTGGTTTAGTTATATTTATTTAGAAGGTGCCGATACGAACGAGTCGGATGGTTCGTGTATTGAGTTAGTGGTTCGGTTTTATCCTGTAAGTTTAGAGATTGATGATTTGAATTCTGCGGCCATTTCTATTTCCATATCAGCCGACTCACTTGCTCGGTTTATCTCCTATCCCAAGGATCTTGCCGGTATTATCACTAAGAAGATTGGCTCTCTGCAGACGATCAAAACCCATCTCGAGAATAATGGTGCCGCTCTTAGATGTCCAGCCTGTCTTCGAGTGATTTATATTCCATGGACCATGATAAAGGCGGAAGAGCATGTCGCCAAGAAGCCTCGTTTAGAATTCGACCCCGATCACAACTTCCGAGAAGCTTGTTATTTTAAGTGTGGTCATCCTGTTTGTGCTATCTGTGTGGCTGAGTTTAAGCTCGACAATAGATGTCCAATCTGCCGAAAAACTGGTGTCTGGCAGGAAGTTCTGCGACTAATCGCTGTTTCTTTATCTAACTTCCTCGTGCTCGAGAGATGTGACAACCCGCCGGCTTCTGATCCCGCCCAACCTAAATCTTTGACCTGGAGCAATGGGTATGCATACTTCTATGCCAGATACACTACCATGACTGAACTTTCCATTGCTGTCGCTAATGAAAAAGCCAATGGCTCTTGTGACGCCATCTACCTTATTTGAGCAATTCAAGTCTAATAAAGCAACTGAAGATACATTTAGATTACACTATATCGAAAAACCAGACCACTTCCAATGACCAAACCCCCATTAACCAAGCCTTAACTCAACCCAATTCAACCTAACACCACCCACCCCTAGCCCAAAGATCAGCTCTTTTTCGAACTAACAAAGTAGATAGGGCCGATCAAATAAAACATGTTTGCCACTAATCTAATACTGATAAAACGAGACCAAATATTTAGCCAACACTACTTGGAAACTTATGGAAAAAGAACCAAGCAACTATATCTACTGCCCAAAATAGTCCGAATTATAACGTTATTAGATCTTTGGGTCTTCCACACTAACTTTTGAATAGTAAATAACAACTACTAGTAGGTTTTATTGATCAGCACCGAAAGATAACTATGAGCTTAGTGTAATATTTCAACTACCCGCTGGAACCTTATCCTTAATATCAGCAGCAGCCTGCACGATGGCCGGAATATTGAGCCATGTAATAAAGAAGAAGAAACCGAAAGCAATTATAGCGGTCGCAATAAGGAATCTAATTAAACGGCTAGCAATAACGCCTTTATAACGCGAGTTACAATTGATTTTCCAGTAGAAGCACTCAATTATCCAAGTAATTACAGCAAGAGCAATAACTATAACCCGGAAAGAGCCAGGAGTCAAAGTAATAGTGCATATGAGCGCAAGAAGAGCACCGGCGACGAAAGGAACTACGAAAAGCAGAGCTGGTTTGATGTTCCAAAGTTTCACTACTGGAATTGTCTTTTTGATCGCCTGATATATCCCAGCACAGCCACCCGCGCCAAGCAAAAGCGAACCAATCGTTATAACGCGTGTAAGAATATCCATATTCGTAATAAACTGCAAGCGTCCACCACCGACTGTGAGCTCGAAAGCGCCAATCCACACAAGAGTAAAGAAAAACACTGATAAGATCAAAAGCATAGCAGCCCGTAGACAAGTTGCCTTCTGACTAAGTTTTGCCTTTGCCTGACTAACTTCTTTGCTTTCTAGATCGCGCGGCTGCGCTATCTCAGAAAGCTGATGCCTGTAGTACTTGGTCCGGCCTTCTTCGTTTATGTACTGCCTCTTGCTGGATTTAGAGGAAAGGAGATAGGCAACACCATCCAATTGGGCGTTCTTATTGGGTCTCAGGCCACGATATTGTTGTTGAGGAGTTTGGGTCGGCGTACCAGTATAGGGGAGTTCATTTAACCCCAAATCTTTGAGCTGATCCTCACTCCAAGCATCATGGCTTTTGTGACAGTACACATCATTAATGATACTAAACCAACTATTCCTGATTGGAGTAATGACAACTGGAGGAAGGCCATTCTGAGTTACAGCTTGATCCATCCCATTATTAAACCGTCCCTTAACCATTTCTATATTCAGATCAGCATTCACATCAACCAAGAAGTCTTTTAAGTGATTGAAATGGACTTTAAGTTTCTGAATATAACCATTAGCCTGTTGTGAGGTCACAATATTATAATAGTATTTAGGCACTATCATATTCTCCTCAGCTTTCCAAACTTTATAACCAACGTCAAGATATTCATCACAAGTATCATAGTGTAAATCATTGAATAAATCGTCCTGTTCATAAAGCTCTGCGTTTATCTGGAAGGACTTCTCTCTGTTATCAATTTGCTTTTGAATGCGCCGACCTTCTTCCTTAAGTAAGTGCATGAGGTATAGTATGTGCTCATTTACTATGGGCATAATACGGGCTCGGTTGATAACATCCAGTTGATCAGCTAGTTCTGGGATTTTTGGGTTAGCTGAATCGTCCCCAATGATCTCCTGCTCTAGCGCATCATTTGCATTCTTCCATACCTCATAATGATATCCACCATAGACCTTCAAGGCCTGTTGAATATCAGTAATTAGTTGCTGTTTAACCTGTTCGTCGGTCTTTTGTTGATCCTTACTCTTACCACGCCAAACAGTATGATCAAGCTGAGCACGATGCAAGCCTTCTAGTCTCTTAAGCTCTTGTTCTAGATTTAGATTAATCCCATCCGGCATCTTGCCATAGAACGGATAAAGCATAGACTTGATCGTTGTACGTTTGTCTTCTGCGGCCTGAATATTACCTTCATGTTGATTCCTACTAACCTCTAGTTCGTCTTTCTTTGTTGCAAGGTCGGCTATGCTCCTTTCACGATCAGTAATTATAGATTGAAGACGCTGGGTTTCTGCTGCTTGAGCTGCTGGATCTGCTGGATCTATTTGAGCTGCTTGAGCTGCTTGGTCTGCTGGATCTATTTGGTCTGCTGGATCTATTTGGTCTGCTGGATCTGCTGGATCTATTTGAGCTGCTTGGTCTGCTGGATCTATTTGGTCTGCTGGATCTGCTGGAGGTTGATTGAGATTATTCAACTCTTGATCAGCTGCAGCCTTTTCTCCTTCCAGACGGGCCATTTCAGCATCAATTTTAGCGATTTGGATGGCATCTCTATCTCGCTTTGTCGTTTCTGACTTGATTTCATCTTGGATTTTACCCCACATGCTAAGGGTTAGATACGATTGGGCTAAGGACAGACGATCTAGTTTAAGATTTGCTGGTACAGGTGCAGTTATAAGTAAAGCCTTAACATTTCTCTTAGTTTGATCGGTCAAGTTATCATTACCGATCAGCTGATCTAATGAATTGGGCAGTGATTTTTTGGGCATAGAACTAAAAGTTTTAGTGTCTATATATAGAAATAGTCGGCCAATAAATGACGTCATAATTATATCTTGATTTGGGTGTGTTTTTAATGTTTATTTGGGCCTATTTGGGTTAATTTTGGTATTCGTGTTGGATTGATATTCTGTTTTGGAAGTTTAATTTAAGATGTTTATATCTATTTAATCGGAATTTGGCTTGAATGGGAAGTGAATCATTTAAACTCAGAATTTGATTGGCTTGGGTTGGTATTGGGTTGGTATTGGGTTGGTATTGGCTAATGGAGTCGATTAGTTATTGGGTAGAGGGTAGGGAGACCAATTAAGTAGAGATTAGTTAGTAGTGCTTATATATTGGGCACGGGGCATGGGTAGTATGGTAAGACTCTCATTGGAGCTGCTGTTTATTATGAGCGTAATTTGTTTGCCGGGCATTGAAACAGATGAGGTAACAGTAACAAGTGGACTTGGAAATGCCCAGCCGGAATTTATTATGGACTTGATTGAAAAGGAGACTTATCAACTCTTAGATCTCTGTCAAAAGAAAGAGAAAGATATGCAGAGTCTTTTTCTAAACTCTATCTTGAACGTTTATACACAAAAACTAGATGTCACTAGTCTGCCTGTCTTTCCAGAAACAGAACCCCATTATATTGATGCATTGATGATTAATAATCCAACTGATGATTTCCTTAATATCACTACTTCTGGTGAAAAGGTCTGTAAGGTCTTTGTTAAAGAGTTAGAAACTTATTCCGAAAGTAGTGAAGAGTCTATTTCTCGTGATGAACAGAGAGAGAAGAACATTTATGTAAGTCGAGAAGATATTTTCCATCCAATTCACTACAAGATCTATAAAGACCATTTTCGCCGAATAATTCCTTCTTTAAAGGCCTTGCTTATTGTTTTTCCTATCTACAAGCAAATTCATCCTATTTCTGATATGATCATCCGTTCATTTAGTCGGCCAGATATTGAGTTTCTACGAATTTCCGGCGATTCAACTATTGATCCTTCCCATATCAATGCATACTACACCATGCTTGTTCAAATCAAGTACTTCATTAAAGAGTACCACCGCCAAACTTCCTGTGATTTTATTGCTAATGAAGCCACTAACCTAGCCCTCTATTCAGTTTTTGTCCTCCACATTACCGGAGAACCCGAATCATACGCCGGTGTCAAAACCCTCCATATTTCCAACACCTGTTTCCGCCAAATCATCATTGATCTATCCGTTTTCAACGAATCTATCCTAACCGAAATAATCATCGAGCAAAACTACAGTCTCCGCCGTGTCCTTATCGTTGTCCCCGATACATTCCAACCCGCCAACATCCCCTCCATCGAAACAGACGAACTCAATGCCAACGCTATCTTCGAGTGCATAACCAAATCATCCTTCAACCAAATCAACAACTAAATTGACTTAACTCAATCTTAACTCAATCTTAACTCGAACTAAACACCAACACAATCTAATTCAAATCCAAATCTAAATCCAACTAAAATCCAAATCCAAACCAAGCTTTCTTTATTTTATGTAGCCTTTCTATCTATTTTAAACACAAATAAAGTTGGATATTCAAGATTAGATATTAAGTACTAAATAGTAAGCAGTAGGTAGTAAGCAGTAAGTAGTAAACAAAAAGTAACAAGCAACATTAAGATAAACCAGAATCAATTTAAATATTAGATATAAGTATAAGGGTTGATGTAATCAAAATCAAAATCAACCCAAACTTAACTCAACTCAAATCAAACTCAACTCAACCCAATCTTAACTTAACTCATCATAACTTGTCGAACAAGACTAGTTCGTTCACCACGTCGCATCTGAGTTGAAAGAACCAAAAAACAATCACCTTCTTGTGACCAAACAATATCCATCGGCTCTTCCTCCTCCTCTAAAACTCGCTTCTCCCAATACAACTCACCAGTCACTTTAAACAGACCTAAAGTATACCGATTAATCACCATCGCAAACATCGGTTCATCCCCAACCCAACACGAACACATCGCAATAATCGGATGGTTGGAAACAGACAATCTACTACTCAACTTCCAATCACCCCCATCTTCCTTATAAATCACCAAATCACCATTTTGCAAGACTGCTCCTAAGTATCCTACTTCTAACCACTCCACCACTACCATATCCCAAACTGTAGATACTTCTTTCAAAATACAATCTATCTCCCACTTCACTCCACACATTTCATCCGACCAAACCGAGTACAACACTATCTCTTCAGCATACCCACAACTAAACAAAACTCCCTTATACCACAAAACAGTCTTTACATCACTTTCACTATACTCAATAATCTCTTCAATCTCCCATTCACCCGTCTCCGACTGCCGCCAAATCCAAATAGATCCCGACCGCGTACTAACTGCCAACCGGCCCATCCCATCAAAAGCCACTGATTTAGCTTCAGTTTCAGCCCCTTCCAATTCCTGCACAACCTTCCCACGCAAAACATCAACCAGTACACACCGTCCATCAAAATAACAAACACCAACCACTCCATGCATTCCCCAACCTACTTCTATCCGTCGCACCAATCCATCATCTTCTTCCTCATCATCATCTTCCACCCCACAACAATCATCTCCATTACTACTAACATTGCTAATACTATTACTATCTCTATTACTCATATCTCTATTACTCATACTAATATCTCCATTAATATCTCTATTACTCATACTCATACTATTAACATTACTCATACTACTCATACTAATATCTCTATTACTCATATCCTTACTCCCACACATACTATTAATATCTCTACCATTAATATCTCCATTACTATCTCTACTACTACTATCTCTACTACTACTCATATCTCCATCCATATCTCTACCCCTACTCATACTCATATTAATATCTTTATCTGAACCTAAAGATAAATTAACGGCAGCAACCTCAATTGTTTTGATTTTTTTCACTATTTTCCAGACAGTTAAACTTTTCACAACAGCAATCAAAAGACCCCGACTATCACCAACAATCACAAGGTTTCCCATCACACAAATAGACCAGCACCATCCATTTAACTTCTTAACTATAGATCCCATTAAATTTTGCCTTTATTTTCTCTTTTTATTTTCAATCTATGTCCGAGAGTTCTACAGTCAGATACGATGAAATTGAAAAAGAGATAGAAAGAATGCAATCAGCCAATTCAAAAACAAGAGAAGAAAGTCTAGAAAAACTCTTTACTATCGCTACAGAGATAGGTAAACTATCTACTATCCAATATTTACTACCCTTTATCAAAACAATCTTAGATACAAATGAAGCCGCCAAAAGACCAATCATCAGACAGGTAGAACAGATAGCTAAAGAGTTAGTTCTTGATCTAAAACCGGTTATACTTATCTTTAAAGAGTTGTTTTTAACTAGAGATGAAGAGATAAGAAGAGAAGCAGCTGAATCTCTAGTAAGTATAGGATTAGTCTTAGGAGAGAAGAAAGAGTTAATGGCCGAGTTAGAACAAGTAGAGGAATTAGTTTTAGAGTTGGGACAAAGTAAGTTTATTATGCATCGCTTATCAGCCTTGGCTTTGATTAAGAAAGTCGTTAATGAAGCTCAATGTGCTTCTTATTTTAAACGTATTCGTTCTTTAGTTAAACAGTTATTAGTAGATACTTATCCGATTGTCCAAAAAAGAGTCTTATCTTTACCTGATGTTTTATCTGGATATTGTACAGCTGATGATTTACTGGAATTAAGTGAACGTTTACTTGATGAAAATGAAGATTCAGTTAGGAGTTGTTTTGATTGTCCAGCTGGTCTTTTACCTTGGTCAACGGCTTATGCTGAGTTCTTTATTCGTATATTTAAGAAGGGAGCAGTAGATGTAAGTTGGGAAGTACGTAATCGAGCGACTAGTCTGATTAAAGTAGCTTTAGGGTATGCTTATGAGACTAATAGTGGGGTAGTTAGTGATTTATTAGAAATACTAGATAATTTAATGACTGATAAGGAAGAATTAGTAAGAGTTAGTACGATTAAAGCTATTCCTGGGGTCTTCTTTGAAGTACCTCGGACTAAAGAGACGGTTTTAAGTCTAGTCGAAAGGGCTTCGCGTGATAGTTCAGCTCGAGTTAAACAGATGGTTCCGATGACTTTAGCTGGTTTAGCTGATGCTTTAGATAGGAGTGAGATTGAAGAAAGAATCTTGCCTATTGTACGACGTTTACTAGGAGATGAAGATACGGAGACTAAAATGGAGACTATTGCTCGTTTACGTTTACTTTATGCTAAATTAGGTCCTAGTGCGATTGCTAGTGCTTTAACTCCAGTAATTAGTGATTTAGGTAGTGCTAGTTGGCGGACAAGAACGGCTGTACTAAGAAGTATTGCTTCTTTATCGCGGCAGATAGAACATTCATATTTTGAAGTGCATTTAAAGTCGGCTTTCTTTCAGATGTTTACTGATCCGGTTTGGGAAGTACGGCGGGAGGCCGCTCGGATTTTAGCTGAGATTTCTTTGGCTTTTGGTACGGCTTGGGTCTTAGGTGAAGCTTTTCCGGCTTTAGACTTTCTTAGGACGAGTTCTAATTATGCGCAACGGATATCTTATGTTTGGGCCTTGGGAGAAGTCTTACGGACTTTATGGCCAAGAACGGTGCAACAAGCAGCCGCTAGTCTTTTGCAGGAATGTGCTAGGGATCCAGTGGCCCAAGTACGACTGGCGGTTGTTCATGCCTTACAAGCAAGTGTTCTGGAGCAGAGACCGGATATTTTGCAGACGCTTCTTAATGATCCACATCCTGAGATTGTCCGGGCAGTTCAGGAGTCTTTGTAATAGAAATAAAGCACGTATTAGTTGTATTAGATTGAATTGAGTTGGTATTGAGTTTGGATTGGTATTGAGTTGGTATTGGATTGGATTAAGTTGGTATTGGATTAGTATTAGATTGTGTTTATGTAGTATTCAGAGTATCCACTGCCATTCTTTGCTTGTATTAGGTTAGTATTGGGTTAGTTGCATTGCAGTATGTTTCAGAGAAGATAAGCACAAGTCAGCATATCTTTATTCTTCATCTGTAGTTCCAGGAACAAGAGATCAATCAAATTGGGTTAGAGATTGGTAGAGTACAACTCTAAACTATAAATACAGAAAGGAGTTTGGTTAAGAAGATACCAACCCAATACCAACCCAATTCAATAATCTGAAGAGTGTCTAATATGACTATGTCTTGGGTTGGTTTGGGTTGAAGCCGGCATGTAGCCACTCAATAACACAACACTTATTATTATCTTACTTATCTTGGTTAAGAGTGAAATTACAATCCCTTTATCAAATACATTCTTATTTATATCTTATAATCCAATCTAAGCCATAATGTAAAATAAGATTCCTAACCCAAGTTGACCTTAACAGATCAAGTCTTGCTATAAACCAATTTATGACACTTATCTCCTACAACAATCATCTAAATACTTATCTAAATACGTATATAAATACGTATATAACTTAACAAACTAACTATTCATCTAAATACGTATCTAAATACTAACTTAACACATATCTAAACCAAATACTCATCTAACTACTAACTTAACACATATCTAAATACTAACTTAACACAACCAAATCCATATCTAAATACGTATCTAAATCAAACCAAAACAAACTCAATACTTATCTAAACCAAAACAAACTCAATACTTATCTAAATCAAAACCAACGTAGAAATAAAGCCTTTTATTCAAGTTTACCGGCCAAGTCCATCGGCATGGGGGCAATTGTCGTGTTATAATGCTCTTCATACTTCTTGATCATCTCCCGGTCCTCAGCAGAAACCAAATTAATCGCAGTTCCTTTCCGGCCAAATCGACCCGCCCGACCTATTCTATGAATGTAGTTATCAATCTCCTTCTCATGCGGTACATCAAAATTAATCACCACACTTAACGTCTGAATATCCACCCCACGGGCTAATAATCCTGATGAAACCAAAGTCCGACACTTACCCTCCACAAACCGCCGCATTACTTCATTCCTTACTTCCTGCGGTAACTCACTATGGAACAACTCACAATCAAATCCTTTCTCCAGTAAGTTCTTCTGGATATTAATCGCTCGTTCTACCTTGTTACAAAAGATAACTGATTGCGAGATTGTACTTCGCTGATAAAGATCACATAAAACTTCAAACTTACTAAAATCAGCTGCTGCTCCTCGTTTCTCACCCACATCAATATAGTACTGCTTAATTCCCTTCAAAGTCTGATCTTCATCCTTTAAAGAGATAATCACTGGCTGATTAAGTATATCCTTAGTCACATCCTGCTCAGTCTTACCCCAAGTAGCCGAGAATAAACCTACTTGAATCTTAGAACTACGAATCTTATTATAGATAAGATTAATCGTTTCTAAGAATCCTTTCTTAAGCATTTCATCGGCCTCATCCAGTACAAACAACTTAACATTAACTAAATCTAACTTGCATATCTCAATTAAATGTAATAAACGACCAGGAGTACCTACTAGTACTTGTGGCTTAGAATTGATCTTATCTACTGTTTCGGCTAGTTTTATACCACCAAATACAGCTTCTATCTTAATGTCCGTACTAGCAGCTAGTCTTTTCAGAACACCTGTCGTCTGAATAGCTAACTCACGTGTTGTTTCCATAATAATTACTTGAATGTCCCTTAGTTTAGGATCAACTCGTTGTAAAGAAGCTATTCCAAAAGCAGCTGTCTTACCTGTTCCACTCTGGGCTTGAGCTCTTAAGTCTCGGCCATTAACTAGAGGGACAATAGCTGTCATTTGAATAGGAGAAGGTCTTTCATAACCCATTGAGTAAACACCTTTAAGAATATCATCACGTAAGCCCATAGACTCAAAAGACTCGGCTAAAACACTTTCACCCCCTTGTTCATCGATAACTAAGACTCCAGCTAACATTTGTCGGTTAGTTTCTGATTGATTGTCTTGATTAAGAGCAGATTCTATATCTAGGTTAACTTCTTCAATTTCAGCTTCATCTGTAGAAGTATTCTTATCTATATTTTGATTCTTATCTATAAATTCTTTCTTATCTTTAAAGTCATTTCTGAGGATGACGTCATCTTCAGATAATATTTCTTTAGACTTGTATTCTTTTCTTTCGGTCATAATTACATGGGTAAATTTTTTATTAATAAATAGATTTACAGTTCTTATCTGCTTATCTAAAAGTATCAAAAAATGTCTGGGGGTTGTATGGGGTAGTTGGTTTTTTAGGGGGTTTAAGTCTTTGGAGTTGTGAGTTAGGACTGGTGAAATCGTACTCTTCGTCTGGGACTTTGATAGCTCGATGGAAGGGGTTTTTGATATAGTAGGTATTAGATTGAGTGGTTAGTATTGAGTTAGGGTGGGTTGTGGTGGAGTTAGGGTGGGTAGAGGTGGAGTTAGGTTGAGTTGAGGTGGTATGGGTATGTGTGTTGGGGTGGGTAGTAGTAGTGGAGTTAGAAGAAGTAGTAGTAGTAGTAGAAGTAGTGGTGGAGTTGGGAGGATTAAGATTGAGATGTGAAGAAGATGGGGTGGTGGAGTTAGGATTAGGAGTTGCAGAGGTAGAGGTAGAAGAAGACTTGGAATGTGATGGTTTAGAGTGGGGTGGTTTAGAATGAGTTTGTTTGGGGTGGGATGGTTTGGAGTGGGTAGATGAAGTAGTATTAGGATGAGTATGAGTGGTATTAGTAGTAGAGGTGTTATTAGTAGTAGTAGATGATGAGGTAGATGAATTGATACAAATCCAGGTGGAATTATTGGGTGGTCTAATCTTGGCAATGTTGGCGACTTTGAAGGCAATGTATTCATAGACTTGGGGTGAGGCGGGTATTTTAATGGGGGCTAATCGGTTCTCTGTACCATGAGAAAGGACTTTGGTAAAAGTTACAGTTTGCTTATCTTGGTTATAAGATGAGAAAATACCGGAGTATCGTACTTCGGTCTTAGAAAGGATTTCGAGTTTAGTGTTGAGGTGTCTAATTAAGAGGTCCATGGAAAATATTTGTTGAGATGTACTGGGTTAATATAGCTGTAGGTTGTAATAAGTGTAGTAGGAGAGGTATAGGAGAGAGTAAGTGTCTGGGAAGGTGTGTAGATAGTGTAGGTTTAGTGGTGGGTGGAGATAGTAGGAGTTTAGAAGGGTTGGGTGAAGTTGGAAATTTGAATTTGAATTTGAATTTGGGTGGTCATGAGTTGAGTAATAATATGAGTAGGTGTATGTGTTTGGGTAGTGAGAGGGGTATGAGTATGTGTTTGGGTAGTGATAATAACAATATGAGTATGAGTAAAGACAATGAGATAGGTAATGAGATGGGTAATGAGATGGGTAATGAGATGGGTAAAGGTAAGTGTGTTTGTGGTTGTGTAGATAGTGAGGGTAGGAGTAGGTGTGGGTGTGGATGTACTAGTAGTAAGTGTGTTTGTGTAGAGGAGGGAGTTGAAGGTGCTGGAGAGTGTAGTGGAGAGTGTAGTGGATGTAAGTGCGAGTTGGGAAAGGGAACGGGAATGCTGGAGGTGGAAGGGAAGAATGGGCGGGAGAGAGTGGTGGTGGATGTTGGAATGCGGTGGATGGCTTTAGGGGGTGAGTGTTTGGGGTTGCGGTATAATGGTGAGTTGGTGCGGGGTATGCATATTCCTGAAGTGGTGGGACATAGAGGACTTGGGAAAGGAGTTGGTGAGAATAGTGTGGCTGGGATTATAAAATGTGGGGAAGTTTGTGGGATGGCGGAAATTGACGTGCAGTTGACGAGGGATAGACGGGTTGTGTTGTACCATGATATGCAAATTGGTGAACAATGGTTGAGTGAAATGGAGTGGTCGAGTTTAGAGGGGCGGATGGAATTGTTAAGTGAATTGTTGCTTAAATCAGGATCGGGGTTGGGATTGAATATTGAGATTAAGTATGTGGAAGAAGTTGGAGTTGGGGTGGAGGAATGGTGTTTGGAGATAGTTAAGATTATGCGAGGGGATTGGGTTAAGAATAGGAGTGTGGTTTATAGTTCATTTTCCCGGGCGGTTTGTTTAGAGATGAAGAAGTATAGTATTTGGGTCTTGTTCTTAACGGAGGAGTTGAGTAGTGAGTGTGTGGAGTATGCGCAGTCGGAAGGGTACTTAGGGATTGTGACGGAAGTGAATGAAGTTTTGAGTAAACCAGAACTGGTTGGGATGATTAAGCAGACGGGAATGATGGTTATAACTTATGGTGAGCGGAATAGTTCACTTATTGATGTATCAAGACAACGTATTCTTGGGATTAATGCTGTGATTTCGGATCATGTAGAGGTTTTAGCTAAGTTTCTTTTGAAATGACTTAGATATGTATTTAGATTCAGATTTAGATATGCTAGTTAGATAAGTTGTTTAGCTTTAAATAAGTAAATTGAGCTACCTTAGTTGGGGTAGTATTTAGTTAATGTTAGTTGCCAATTAGGTACAGTGTATAGTTCAGATAAGTGCTAGTAAATAATGGCTGGTTGTTCATTTCTTAGCACTAATTAGATAAGTAAATAGATATAATAAACAGTTTAGATAAATACATATTAAGTGCATGCCAATGCAGTCATATCTACTAACTTAGTCATCTATACTAACTCAGTCATATCTACTAACTCAATCCTAACTATACCAATGCAGTCAGATCTACTAATTCAATCCTAACTATACCAACTCAATCCTAACTAAACCTATACCAAACCAATAAACTAAGTTAATTATAGTAGTATGCACGTATGTGCTTAAATGGATATACATACTGGGGTTTATTTGTGCCTATCAAGGTAGGTGAAGATAAGGGATTCTAGTGTGATTTTACGTTGAATGTCCTGGAGGCGTTGGTTGAGGTCTTGCTGCTGGGCTTGGATAGTGGCATGGGGGCCTTGGAGTGTAAATGTAAGTGTGTGCTGGTTAAGGACGTACTTGTAGGGCACAAGAAGATGTTTGTAGTGTCGGTGTGGATAAGTTGTTGTGAACTGAATAGTGGTGCTGGAAGTGAGTGGGAACTTTTGGAAAACCGGCTTATCTAAATGGAGTTTCATAGACAAGAGTTAGTAGGAAGAGAGAGAGATAGTTCAATAAAAAAACAAGTAGGAAACTAGGCGAGAAAAGATGCTTTCTTAGACGGTACATTTCCTGTGCTGATTTAGTTAGTTTTTGGCGAGGAGAAGATCTGTCTTGTTTGTAGATTTGGTGATAGATATTGTTAGTTTTTTGGGCAATATCGGGCCAGCGATAAAGAGCACGGACTGTTTGATGGGAAATGAGTTTGTTGTACTTGGCAATCTTAGGTAGAGCTGTTTTAATACCGGTGATAATTCCGGCGGGTGTGGCTGGAGTAAGAGTGATCATATGGGTGGGTAAAACTTCACTAATTCCATCCACATTAGTACTGACTACATAAAGTCCACAGGCGGCTGCTTCGACAATTGAGATACAGAAGGCATCGGTGAGTGAAGTGTTCAGAAAAAGATCGGCTTTAGTAAGGACTTGTTGGACCTGGTTAGAGTTAATATTACCCAGGAAAGAAACTCGGGTGTGTAATTGGTGAGCATCAACCGTATGTTCTAGTAAATCTCTCTTATCTCCATCCCCAGCAATAATAAAGCGAATACGTTCATCTAGTTGGCAAATAGTAGGTAAAGTCTCGGCTAGAAGTACGGCGCCTTTACGGAAAGTAAGACGGGAAACAACGGCAATAGTAATAATAATGGCCGGAGTGGGTTTAAGTGCAGTAGGACTAGGAATAAAGTCATCTGTGACGGCATTAGGAATTACAGCTATCTTTTCTGGATCAATGTTCAAACGAGCGGCCGTGTTAATTCGGCTGGCTTGGGAGACACAGATGATTTGGTGGGCATCAAGCATACTTAGCTGGAAAGCCGTAGCAGTTAGTGCCCCGCCCAGTGTATTGACCTGGACTAAAGAGTGGTTGGTGAAACAGACGGCTAAACCGAGCATACGGGCATGAAAGACACCTTCTAGGGCTAAGGTTGTACACTGATGGCCATGGACTATATCTATTTGCTCATTAAGAAGAATCCGGGCAATAGGAGCGGCAGTACAGAAGAAGGTAGGAAACACAGCCCCACCAAAGATAGAAAGAAGGTCTAAATAGTAGGTTTTGAACCCTAGCACTTCCTGTACACCAACTAGCCCAGTGTTAGAGTGGGTAATAATAATAATGGTGTGACCAAGTTGGCGTAGTTCTTTGCTAATGTTTAAGATATGATTCTCTACTCCGCCAACCCGTGGATAGAAGAAATCGCTGATCATCGCAATTCGATATCGCATGCAGAACAAAACATTTGCATTATAAACTTAGATTGTGTTTGTTGTGGAATGGGAAATGTATTAGAGCATGAAGAGAGCAAAGTTAAGCCAAAGGTTTTGAAACCTGATGGAAAGATAGGACCTGATTCTGGCCTAATTTTAGAAGAATCACCTTCAAAAAGCAGATACGGAAAATTTCAATGGCGCGAGCTGTTATTTGTTTGGATCTGTGCTTTAACTGTGCGCATATATCGGATTGAGCGTGGCGGGTTTGTGATCTGGGATGAAGCTCATTTTGGTAAGTTTGCCATGCACTATCTGGACCGAGAGTTCTTCTTTGACGTGCACCCGCCGCTTGGTAAGATGTTGACCGCCCTGAGTGCTTACTTGGCGGGAGTTAAGGACCGGTTTGCTTTTGAAAGTGAAGCGGCTTATCCCTTAAGTGTGGACTATGGGGCTATGCGGGTTTTCCATGCCGTTTTTGGGGCAGTCGTACCCGCTTGTGTTTATGCGATTGTACGGTCGTTGGGATTTAGTCGGCTGACAGCTCGTGTGCTCGCTTTTGCTGCGGTTTTTGATAATGCCTTGGTTGCGATTTCTCGTTTGATTTTATTAGATCCGTATCTGCTGGCAACAGTAGTCTTTTCGGAAGTCTTCCTAGCCCGGGTGATCATGGACTCGCGCCGGTTACAACGACTTGGCCCTGATTTATTAGGACTTGGTTTAGGAATTGGTCTAGCTATGAGTGTTAAATGGATTGGTTGTTTGACCGTTGCCCATGTAGGTTTCTATGCTACTTATGTTTTGTTATGTGAAATCCGCGCCCGGCGCTTAGCAGCTATTCGTTTATTTGTTCGTTTGGCACTTGCGCTAATTGTCCTGCCAATCTGTGTGTATGCGCTTTGCTTTGCCGTGCACTTCCATATCCTGAACCGTTCAGGACCTGGTGATGGCGATATGAGCAGCCGCTTCCAAGCCCATCTCCAGAATAATGAAATGCTAGCCAATGAAGAGAAAGTCCTCTACGGCAACCGAGTGACTTTCCGTAACTCCATTCCTGCTACCGGCCTCCTCCACTCCCACGTTGATCGCTACCCCACGGGTGAACAACAAATCACGACCTACCCCCATAAAGACTCTAACAATCATTGGCGCATTCTTATGGTAGGTACTGATCCCGACCAAGTTCACTACCAAGAAGACCTCGTCCTCATGCATATCCAAACCAGTGCCTACTTAGCCGTTGAGCCCCGGGCCGCCCCCCTTTCTCATGGCCACTTAGTCGCCGCCCTGACCAAAGAAGAAATGAACGGTGCTATCCAAGGGAATACCGTATTCACGCTTGAACCTGCCCAGAAACCATCCACTCCCCACTCAACCGTTGCACCTATCGACTCTTTCTTCTACATCCGGAATAAGTCCAATCGTTGCTATCTCACCTATACCGGTAAAAAGCTCCCAGCCTGGGGCCATAAACAAGGTGAAATCGTCTGTACCGAGGAAAAGTCCGCCGGCTCACTCTGGAATATTGAAATGAACCAAATAGATGATCAACCCCGTCTACCCAAACCACCCCAAACTCCTTCGACTAAAGACTTCCTCCAAAACTTCCTCGAACTCAATCTCGCCATGAATGCCGCTAATAATGCCCTCGTTGATGATGGTAAAGATACAATCGGCACCAGACCCGAGCAATGGCTCTTCCCGCGTAAATGGCTACGCTTCAATCGCTGGGATGGCACAATTCCCCGTTTCGCCATGGTCGGCAACCCCTTCACCTGGTACTTAAGCACACTCAATATTCTAACTCTTCTTCTAGCCACTATCGCTGCCTTTCTCAAACCCAAGAAATCAACCAATCGCTACCTCTCCCGCCGCACCGGCCGACTCTACCTTGTTTTTGGCGGCTGGCTCATTCACTTCCTCCCCTTCTTCCTAGTCAACCGCATCAAGTACCTC